TTTATATTGTGCCGGATTATTGCTATTTTCGAAATTTTTCAGAATGGTTGGAAGTGAATACTTGGTTAAATATTATTAATAACCTTTAGAATTTTATCATTTGCGCATATGCCCCATAAGATCAGGTGAAAGTAAAATCAAATTAAACAAATTAACGCATTAATTTAGGGTAGGGACCAGAGTTAAGATAGGTTAGAGAATTTAAAAACTGTTCTTATACCAAAATTTTGCATCTTTCGATTTCACGTTACACCTGATCTTACGATCTGTTTGGTTGATCATGTGGGTGCGTTACAACTAAAGATGTAAAATTTGATGAAATTAATTTCACCAGCATCTCTAGTTACAACACACATGTATAAACCTTTTCTTTAAACTCTTAAATATGGCTTTGTTAGAAAAAAATTTAAAGTATTTACAAAATTTAACCATTTTTTACTGTCAACTGTTTTAAAGCCAAAATCAAATTAAAAGGAAATTTTGTTCCATTTTAATTTGAAATCGATGGTGTTGTGATAAAAGTTTGGCCAGAATTTAATACAAGTAGTATAAGTGGGCTTTAGAGGGTTCGAAGGAACTAGATTTAATTTTAATTTATTCTACATCATTAACTGTCAATATTTTGCTCATATAACTTTTTTTGCAATCTTTTTTTGTAGACACTAAACTTCAAGAATTGGAAATTAATGAATTGGAGATTAATGAATCGGAGATAAATCAATCAGAAACAAATTATTAAATAGTGTGAAATTTATAGTTATGTTCTTAATAATCATTATCCAAATAAAATTGAATTCTTAATTTTTTTTTTTTTTGACCTTATAAAAGTACTGATGTGAAAATTCTCAATTAAGATAAAATCTTGCTTCTCTACTTGATACCTCTTAGCCTATATCCAATATGCTTATCGTTATTGATCATTTGTTTATCTTATATTACAACCACTATTCTTGAGTGATTGTCGTATAATATTTGTTTATTTCACGACTTGGTTGTCGAAGTTCTTGTATTGCATCTCAACCACAGTGCATCATCATATGTTTTATATAATTCATGGGCATTATTTGAACGTACTGTTAGTAACTATACGTGTTATAAATACGTACTGTGCGAAACAATTCTGAGTATTTTATAGATAGCGCCTCATTAATAATGCGTTACTTAACTTTAGCCTTAACCAATCGAACTTATTCTGCAAATTCACTACAAAACAACACAAAGTATATTATAATTATTGTGTGGATATATAGTTAATTCCGTGGCCTTCAGTCATGAGACTGAAATATATCGAGCCCGTGTGTAATTAGCTTGTTCAATATATATAACCCATACAATAACTACCTCATGGTAATGGGTCTGGGTCTGATGTACAATCCCGTGCCAATGAGTAAAGGAAAAAGTTCGTACACATGATAGTTGGTTACTACTCAGAAGAATGATAGTGTTAACGTAAAGATTCAGTTTAAAAAAAAAAACACTTCAAAGATTTGCATAAATAGGCTCGATGTATTAAAACACTACTTATCTAAAATGCCATCAATAAAATGCCATCAAGAGTGTTGATTGCAGATCCCTCCCTCTATGATTTGTACCCGAGAACGATCTGGTGATTAAAATTTGGGTAATATAATTTAACAATGTCGCAATTCAGTAATCTGACGTCAACTATAAGCAAACCTGCCTATAATCAGATCAAAAGGTTATAATTAAGGATGGCTAATGTTTTTATTACGTAATTGATAATTATAATTTGGATAACCTGGATGTATTAAAATCCCGATTTACTTTAATGAAACTTGCCAAATTTGCAACTTTAATATTACTTGCAATTAGTTATAAAGTAGCTATATAGTTACTTTTATAGTTTTGCGTTTACTATACCATTTTATAAAAAATTTTATGAAATTTTAGTAAAAATATAGGAACGTAGTAGGTGTAGTGCTAACTTATAATAAATGCAAAACTATAGTAACTATAAAGTAACTATATAGCAACTTTATAGCTAATTGCAAGTACAAATTTGGCAATTTCATTAAAGTAACTATTCGGACTTTAATCATCACGTGCTATAATCAGTAAAATAATGTTTTTAAATCGCTTATAATTTGCCACAGATCCATGTTCACTAAAACAGTATTACAGTAGCAAATCTTGAATGAGTACCAAGTTTGTAGCTCAGTCGATATTTTTTAAAGTTCGAATATTCCAGTCTAGTTATTCCAGTTTAGTTATTTCAAAAAATTATAGGTATTTTCAAGCATCTAAATTCATAGTCTGAACTTGATTTGTAATTAGTAGAAGATAGTTTAATTAATCAAGTGAGTTTATTATTATAATAAAAAAAGGGATTATTTTTTTTATTATAGAGTTGTGCTAATTGGTTAAAATTTAATAACTGTTTTATAATAGTAAAATTATTGTATAAATTATTTAAATCAATCGTAGCACTCTTAATTATTAATTAATTATATGAAGAAAGATGCTTAAGAGCACCTTATATATAAATATTGTCAAATAAAAGAATAATACTTTGGATTTCAAGTTATTATTTATTATTTATCAAATTTAGTTTATACAAGTTTAAATAACTTATATATTGTATAATAAAAAAAGTTTTTACAAAATCAATTAAAACAAACTTGAAAATACAAATCAGGTATTATAAAAATAAATATTAAAATTTGAAGCAAATGAAATATAAAAATTTAAAATTCATATATTTCTATGTTATTTATTTACCAAATTATCTTTTTAATATTATAACAGTTTTCACTATTATAATAATTTTAATTATCTCAATGAGTTTTTTAATTGCTTATCTATCTTAATCTAATAGCTTATCCTTTAGATTTTATTTTCTAAACATGCAGTGACACTCATCAAGTTAACAAACACAAGACAATTTAATAAGTTACATAAATGTAAGAATCATCATCTTATATATTATAAAAATTAAATAATGATTTGGTGCTACGAAAATTTGAACATTTATTATTATATCAATTGAAACACAACTACTTACTAAGTATGTATAATTAATTTTTTATCATGTGATAATTGCTTATCATTCAACCTCTAACTATTCATTCAGTAAGTTTATTATCATAAGTTTAACTTTTGTATCCTTATTACTAATAATATATAACTCACAATTGTGTATATTATCTGATTTAATTTCTTAGAATCTATTTTTTGTCAAGTAACTTTTCCTTTGTAGTGTATTATTTATTTATTTAAAAAAATAATTTAATTAATAAACGTTCTTCATATTCATTGCTAAATTAACAAAATGATAAATATTCATAAACGCAAATAATACTATGCTCACCCTACTTGCTGGCAAAACTCAAAACCTTCAAAATAAAAACTTATTCCCAGTTAACACTTATAATTTTTATGTACGAATATACTGTACGTACGTACGTACATAGAAATTTTATCTTCCACATTCAACGTTAAATAAAATAAAGTTTAAGTTCGGTGTACGTACGTATTAAAGTGTTTTACAACATATTAGATATAGCCATTAAAGTTAATATCACGTGAATTTATCTAATTGTAAAATTGTCTGGACGACCCATCTATTTCCAGTATCCTGTGTTCCAGTGGACTGGACTAGAATAAAATATTTTTTCCTGTGAAATAGTTCAGTCCAGGTGACAACACTCCTTGGCACACATTCAAGCTTGGCCATTTGGTCGTGGCCATTATTTGCCAAATATTTATATAGAAAAGCTAGCAATATGATTGGTTAATATAATATAAATTAGAAACTTTTGGCCGAAGTTTGACTACTGGCCATTGGCCGTTATATATATTGGCCAAAAGAAGGGGTTTGCCGCAAGAAATTGTCAAAACTGCATTCAAGAATTGCATTACAGTAAGAGTTAGACACATGTGCCCCATGAGATATACCCTTTGCTAGTTTTGAAGGTCAGACGGACTATATGTATCGTACCAGGTAGATATAATCAAGTATATTTTTTTCTGTACGGTGCACTCTCCACACGAGTGTTGTCAAGTGAAAATGTGACTTTCGGCTTTCAATTTTATTATTTATTTACCAGATTCATCCCTTGAAAACCTGATGGCAATATATATGATACGTAATTACATACCATATATGTCATCAATAAGATTTTTCATGGACTAAACCGGTAATTTAAACTTGTAAGCTCGCATCCACCCTAATCTCAAACTCTAGAGATTCTGCCGAAAAGTATAGTCAACACACAGCAATAGGTAAACATAAAAAAAGATCCCAACATGTTGAATATAGATGTTCACCTCTAGAATGAACATGTCTATCTATCCGTTGAGAAGTGATTTCTGAGTTTGCCAATAATTGACTTTTTTATTTCTTTTTTTCTAACCTTTTAATTTCAATGATTATTAAATTTATCTGAGATTCAGAGATTTGATCAAGATCACATGAAATAAAATAGAGATGTGAAAATAAAAAGTGATTATTATATAACTTTATTGGTTCTGTAAACGCGATACTCAATTAGGAAAAGAATACGTAATTATGCATACCACGAGAATTTTCCAAAGCGCATGATTATGCCAATCAAATTGCACGTGGCTGATTTCAAGTCCTCAGTTTGGCGTAGAACATTTTCCAGACTGATTTGTCTCGGAAATCACATGACCAAAAATTTTTGCGTCACTAATTTATTTTCCGTTCCTCTGACTAGAACTAGTTAATTTTAAGCTATCGAATCAATTTATAATCTGAAATTCGAGGCAACTGCTATATGAAAGAAAGACATGAACTCTTCGGTGTAACCAACTAAAAGGCTAAGACTTTCACTAAAAGGTAGTTTTACTCAAAGTGCTCGATTTGTCATAAACAAGGAAGCTTTAAAGGAAGAACTTGATACAATAGGCTTTTAACCATTTTAATACATTCTCTTTGAATTATTGTTACTATTAACCTGAATTAAAGATGTATTTCTTCTAACTTCATTTACAAGAACTTCTATCACATTCCATCTCATCTATTTTATCCTATGAATTTCAAGAAAGAGTCGAAGAATTTCATAGTGATTTGCGCTTGGAGGCTGTGAAAATGGGAGGATTCATTTTACTTTTTCTTTTTCATTTGATTTTCACATACTATTTTGCTCTTACATTCTTTTTCGGGTGAATGCGAAAGCCAAAAGAATTTTCACGTTTTTCTGCATAGCCTTTGATGCAGCCTCCGCCCATTTTGGCGTTATTACCTTCTTCGTGTTCAGAACTCATGCGATTATGAATTAAATTACTTTACTTTTATGGTTAGTGCTTCCGGATCAAATTCGACGTAGGATCATCGATCAGGATCAGGATCACTAAATTTCTTGTACGTATTAAAAATCATGTACGTACAGTACGTTCGTATATGCGTACAAAGTAAATATTTTGCAGAAAATATGTAATATCTGATACTCATTTTATATCGCGCTATCTTGTTAAATTTGTGATATATAGTTTAGTGGATAAGATGATCGAAATTTTTGTAGATGAAGAGAAACGGATTTTCAGGAAATTTTGTATAGGGTCTTGCAGAGTTGTACAAGTGAAAATTGTTTTACAAAGTTACATACGCACATGCATTATATTGTTTATTACTGAATTAGGATATCATAAAAACGGATGATTATCGTTATAGTGATACTCGATAAAAACGAAAAGACAGTTTGATCAGATGCATTTTCATCTTACGTTTATAGGCTTAAAATTTACTGTCAGTTATATATATGTGTAGATCAGTGATATAATTTAGTAGAAATGATGTTATTATGAAATATATTTGACTATTAACGTTAATGAACAATTATTCACGTCATTGTCAATCAGTAAATACTCACATAAATATCGATATGATCTTAATTTCATGTTTCTCACGAATATCTTTTTGCTTTTTTGTTTACGTTTTGTTCCCTACTCACATATCGATATCATCCTAAAATCCTAAACTGTGAATATTTGTATATATTTATAGTGAAAGGGTTATTATTAAACAAACCTTTTTAATTGGACAAAAATAAAACATTGTAAAAATGGGAATAAGCCTGGAGGCCGGACGACTTGTTGTAATTTTAACAAACACTTTAACCACAGTTAGTGTTCATATCTGTTAATAATAAATCTCGATATCGTACTTTTTTGTGTCCTGGATTTATCTGTGTTGTGCTCTTTAGATTGTAGGTTTGATCCTTATCGTGTTGGGGCTTTATGAACTCGCATCTCCAGACGTAAGCTTGTATTCAACCGCGATTCCTCTTGCAACTATCATTTTTGGCATTTTCATTCTTTTGATTTCTATTATTGGATGCTGTGGTGGAATAGCCGAGAGTAAACCCGTCTTATGGGTTGTATCCTTTTTTTTTTGCTTTACCAAATTTTATATTATGATAAATTTGTTTTTCTTAACCGATAAATTTGTTCTAAAAAAAAAGTATTTCGTTATTCTTTTGATCTTGATAGTTTTCCAAGTCATTATTGCGATTATTACTTTGATCGACACACAAAATGCATGTATTCCCGATTAATAAATTCATTTTTAAACCATTATCGTTACCGTTATTAATGTGTTAACATTCATTACTTTTTTAGGTTGAAAGAATTCTTGACACTTGGTGGCAAGCTGCTTATGATGATAATCCGAGAATAATTCGTGACATCGAAGATAAGGTAGATCGCCTAAGATCTTCTCTTATTATGCCTAAATAATTATAGTTTAAAAATTATTATTAAATTATTATTAAATTATTATTAAATTATTATTTTTTTTTTGTCAATAGTATTCGTGCTGTGGATTTAGGAATGTAACAGATCGTGCTGTCCCAAAGAAACGTCCAGATGCTTGCGTTAATAGCTCTTGGTTCGGTTATGATAGACCGTGTTTGGACGTTTTAACTCTATCCTATAAACATCATCAAGTTGCATTCGGTGTCTGGGGGATTATCTTGGCCATTATTCAGGTTAATTTATGACTATGAATTTTTTTGATTTTTTTGATTTTTTTTTTAACTTTATGTCTTATAATTCGTTTTATACAGGTCATAGCTCTAATTTCGGCATACATTCTTATTGTGAATTTACCGACTTCAGAACAACGAGATCGTGAATATAGAGCTGAACATGAACGGCTTATTAAGATTGGTCGTGGTGGTGATCCGGAACAACCATCTAAACCTTATTACACTGATAGAGGTGCTGGTGTGAGTAGTGGTTCGTCAGGTGCAACACATGGTCAATACGGTACTGTTCCATAAAATTTGTTGCTATAATAGTATAACATTGGTGAAAATATCTTCGTTTTGTTAAGGAAGCAATGCAAGAAACTTATAAATATTGGTAAAAAAAAGAGTTATGTTTTATTCTTAGGTATCTATTCTTTCATTTGCTTATATCATAAAAATAAAACATTCCAATTTTCATCGAAAGCAAGTGAAAAAATTTACATAGCAATCGAATAACAAAATATCTAAAATGATTTTTTTTAGTTTAAGCTTTAATCAAAGAACTGTTACTTTAAATAAACAATGTATAGCATTGGCAATTTAGTAAATAAAATATCGACTCTGGATATAATGAACTTACTCTATAACCATAGTGTTCGGTGTAGAACATAGTAAATTATTCTATAAGGAACTTTTAAACTTTTTTTATTACAAGAAAATGTCAGTTCATTATAAGAGTTTATTGTACAGTATATTAAAAATTGCAGAATTCAAATCATTTTTTTTGGATTTTAAAATATTAATATAATTAATATAATCGATTATCATTTCAAAAACAAAGGTGAATTGCAATTTCGATATATAGTTTAAAATCGGGTTATATATAAACTCTTTTAATCTTAAAACCAACTGTATTATGTGATTTTGTCAAGTTTTAAATAGGCCTTGGTTTCCTTTACGGATTTAGAGTTTATATTCAATTTTATTAATGGTCTTTAATGGTAGCAAAAATTTTTCACATTTAATAGTAAATAGTAAATAATCATATAGCTGATATTTCTTTTTTGATAAAAGTAATGAACTGTGGAAAGAATTATCAAAAATCATCTTTTTTTGAGTCGTCCCTTTCGACTAGGTCTCGCATTTTTAGACTTTCGTTTTTCTTTTATTCTTCTTTGCTTGCAAATTTGTTCTACAGTTTTGAGTTCATTTTTGGCTTTGACAGAATTCCGGGAATTTGCTTTTTTCGAATTCTTTTGTTTTTTCTCGTGATTAATTGCAAGAGGATCCGAGGGTTCGGAAGAATCTGGTGTTTTGTGCCTAAATTTTTTAACGTCAAAACGCGCTGATTGTATTTCTTTTTCTCCAGTACGAGGTATTAATAACTTATTTTGCTGTTGCCACTCCATGAATCTATGGAAATAAGAAATTGAGGATATTGACTTAATATTTAATAAATTCAAGGTTAAATTTTACTAACCTCCCACTTTTGTATGTAGCCGGTAACTTTGTTCCATTTTCACTGATAATATATTTCTTGTTGTCAGACCCTATACCATCACCACGAACAAAATTCTTCTTTTTACTATCCCATCTTAAACCTTTCCTTTTATTCGCACCCGCAATCTGTTCATCATTTTGAGGTCCCAAAAGAGCTCTTTTTGATTCCTCAGCAAAAGATATGCCTTGATTTACTGAATATCTATTGCAGAAAATTATTGTGAAAAAAATCATTCATTTCACCTATTCATTTAAATTTAATAACAAATTATCCAATTTACAAACCCCTTTTCTGTATTTGCATCTTTTTGATAATGAGAAATATAGTATTCCTCATCCCGAAAATTATCTCTTTTCTGCCTTTTAGCTAATTAAGTGTTGATTGAGGATGTATCAATATTAATGGTTGGTATCAGAAAATCATTTTCTCACAAAAAAATTACTAACACATTTTAGTAGAATTGTCGGTCTTTCGTTTCTTGGTTTTGCTAACATCTGGTAACTAAGTTAAATAAATGTTAGAGCTTAAAATATAACACGTAAATAAATAAGAAAACTAAAAAAATTTAATATACCTTTGCTTCGGCTTCATGACGATTGGATGCACTTCCACAATTTATTTGTATTTCCTTTGTATTGGTTGTTGCTTTCACTGTAGTTTCTTTACGTTGCTTTATTATAGGTGATACAATTGATGTTTTTTTTTTCCCTCTATTTCCTAGTTCTAAAATCGTCTAACAAAATGAATGTAAACGATTTTAATAATAATAAAGTTACATATAATAAACCGATTTAATCTAAATTAACTCACCTCAGGTGGCCGAAAATTTGAAATTGAATTTATGAAATTGAGTCGACTTTTTTCTTGATCATTTACTTGATCGGCTTGAAATAATATGTTTGTTAATAATTTTTACATATAACTATAATACAAACACTTATATATATATATATCTCTACAAACCAAAAAGAACGTGCACATCATTCAAATTATTCATATCTACAACTTCCTTTGCTCTTTTATAACTTTCTGGTGCTGCTGATGATTTAGATTTACAAAATAGTTTATAACCATTTTTCGCCACATCGCAAAGAGATTTTAAGTCATTAACTTCCTGTTGTTTTCCTTTTACCCATTCCATATAAGATCCCAGAAGGTCATGAGGGAAAGATCCGATAATAATATCTGAAGTATAATCAGGTGTTGAATCTACAGCCGAACCAATTAATAATCGACGACCAAGAAAAAGTTGAAGATCAAGTAAATAGGGAAGCTATAATATTGTAAAACTCTTCAATTATAAAATTGATTTTTAAAAAAAAAATTTGATTATTTTGTTTAAGAAAACTATTGACATACTTCTTCAGGTGTAATTAAAGAATAAGCACAACCTTTTCTACCAGCTCTAGCTGTTCTCCCTACTCTGTGAACAAACATTTTACTACTATCTATAAAGTCATAATTGATTACATTTTCCAATATTGGAATATCTATTCCACGAGCCGCTAAATCTGTCACAACTAAAATATTAGTTCGACCACTACGAAAATTGTTTATTTGTATTTTCCTAGCTGTTTGATCTAAAGAACCATAAATATAAGATGTTTGAAATCCACAAAGGTTCAAAAGATTTGTAATATATTCAACATGATGTTTTGTTGATACAAAAATAATTGTTTGATTAGATAACAAAGATTGTGATATTGTATTTGATGAATTGTCGTCTTTATTATTGGAATTTTTAGATATAGTGACTGATGAAGTGGGAGTAAGATGTATTTTAATGACTTCATATAGAAGATATAATAATGCGGCCTCTTTTTCCAATTGTTTCACGGAGAAAAATGCCATCTATTGATAGATGTAATATATTAAATTTTATAGAATTTTATTTATATATTTGACAAAGTTTAATAAATGAAATACAGTCCATACCATTAAATCGGTGCTAATCTTGGTATCTGTATCTAGTCGTACTAAACTTGGATCTTGAAGACCAGCATTTGCAAATTCCACAAGTGATTTTGGCAAAGTAGCGGAAAAAAGCATTGTTTGACGTGATTGAGGTAGTCTATGCAATATTTCATGAAGCTGTGCTGAAAATCCTAATTCAAATAATCTTTTAAGGGTAAAGAATAATTAGCGTTATAATAAATTTAATGGGGATTATTAAAGTACATTCATATCCTTTCATTATTACCGATCTGCTTCATCAAAAACAACAAATTCAACGGTTTTAAGTTCAAGTTCCATTTCCACAATTAAATGAAGAAAACGCCCAGGAGTTGCTACTATACTACAACACAAGATTGGTCAATTAATTTAATGATTGAATAAAATATTAATTGTTTAAACAAAATGTATATAAAAAAAAAATACATACATGTCAGGATTGTTTGCAAACATCGCAAATTGCTCCTCTAAACTGTCACCACCAACTAATAGACAAGTTCTCAAATCTGTATATTTAGTGAGCTCTTTGCATACTTTTTGTGTTTGAAGAGCTAGTTCACGTGAAGGAGATAATATAATCGATCTAGCACCAACCTAATTCATAATGTAGCATTCGTATTATATTAACACGACAAAATAAAGCCATTAGACTGTACTGTTTGTTAAAAAACAAAGAATTATACATACTTTTGCAGAATGAACTTTTAATTTTTCTATAATCGGAATCAAGAATGCAGCAGTCTTGCCGGAACCTGTGCGAGCCATGCCTACTACATCTTTACCGTCCATTATTAATGGTATTGTCTTGCGCTGTATTGGAGTTGGAACCTTAAATCCTTTATGCAGTATTGCCTTATATATTGGGTAGCTTAATCCTTGTTAAAATTTTTTTTTTAAAAAAAAAGGTTGATTTTTTTTTGATTATAAAACATTCAATTTCATAAAATAAAAAATTAACAATTAATACCCATGGATTGGAAACCACCCGATTTTTTCTTTTTTCTATTTTGTGCCTGTAATTGTTTTGAAATAATAAATTCATCCTGTTCTTCAAATGAATCCTCATCTTCAATTTCTTTTGTTAATGAACTTGAAATATCCAAATCTTCTTTTAATTGAACCTCTTGCGTTTCGGATTTGTTATGCATAATTTCATGGAAAATGATTAACAGAAAAAATTTTTTTTGATTTTTTCAATCACAATTTATCGAAAAATTCTGATTGGTAGTGTTTCGATGATCTTAAATAGTTGATCATGTTATACGACACTGATTGCCTATTAGGGTATGGTTCAAAAATATAGGATTCGAACCGAAAGATTCAAAATGTATATAAAGTATAATTCTCGATATAACAGAAGGATTGGGCTATTAGTACCAAATTCGTTATATCTAAATTTACCAATAGTTCCGCTATATCGAGATAACTTAAACATAATAGATAAGAGCAAAGATAAACTTCGTTAACACATGCGTTCATTACACCGAGGTTCGAAATTATACTGTAGTTGACTCTCTTTTTGATTAATCTCTATACCGACTTTGGATAGATTTAGAACAAATAGATTAGTCATATAACTAATACGATTTTATATAACGAATATTCGTATAACTACAACGATTATGGTCTACTTAATTAATCGCATAAGTTATTGTTAAGTAACTGATTTTCATATAAATATAGTTCTGATATAATGATTAAAGATCGGTGAAAGTTTGCCTATTCATCCTATTATCTGACTTAAGTTCTCTTTAAACCATTAGAACTTTAACTTATAAATGGATATTAAGAAACAGCACATCATTTTTTTATGTGTAGGCAATTTTTTTAAAGATTTTTTTAATCAAAGTAATTTGACTGTCTCTAATACTTTTAAATATAATGGTAATGATAATGATAATGATTTTTTATTTGGCATGTTAATTACATGCTATACAAGTATACTTGCCGGCAAAATGGCAAAACCTGGACAAATTCAAAAAAACAATTGTTATTTATAAAAAATTGAATCAA